CACACACACACACCCACACACACACACACACACACACACACACACACACACACACACACACACACACACTTTGTTTCTTGACCCCGTGGGGACCTTCCATTGACTTCCATTCATGTTTTTTAGACTGAACCCTGACCATATACTCTAAAATTAACCTCACAGAAACTTACCTGACCCTAAAACTAACCTAAACCTTGGTCCTAAACCTAACCCCACACCTGTGGGGTACAAATCAGTTTACATACATTATAATTACATTGTAAAAGCCACTTAGTTATCGATCTAAAGAAGCCAGCAGATTGTGTTGAAACAAACAAGAGAAAACATTTACTGACTGAAAAACCCAGAACTGAGCTGCTGTCTCTGCAAAGACACAAAGGTTTCTGAGATCTGATTTCTGTCTCTGCTCCTGCAGGAAAGTACGCCATGCGGGATCTGGTGAACCGTCTGCCCGGTGGCAGTCCTACCGTGCTTTCCGATGAGACCGTGGCGTCGGTCTGCTGCACACTGCACGAGGTCACCAGCCGCAACATAGAGAATGCCAAAGCCTTAGCTGACAGCGGGGGCATCGAGAAGCTGGTAGACATCAGCAAAGGCCGAGGGAAAGGGTACGAAAACAGAGGTTTTATGTTTAAGAAAATCCTTTTAGTTTTAAAATTTCTTTGGTTTAAATTCATGCATTTTTGCTGTTACGACTCAGCAGATAGCAGTAAAATCTCAAGTAATATTTCACTTTTGAAACCCAGGTTTTATATTTTGATGTAGTTTTGCCACATAGCTAAAAACTTGAATAAAAAAAAGTCTAAGATGAAAATGTAAGCAAAATATTCACCTAAAGTAAATATATCATGCTTTTAAATCCTTCCTTTTCACATTTAAATCATTCAGTTGGGGGGATCTTTATAACAGGGAACTTCATTGCTTTGGTCTGAATTCCTTCTTAATTTAAATTTACCAGCCCCTGTTTCTCTCCTTTTCTGCTGTGTGCCTCAAAGCAGCTTGTTTTGTTACTGTTCAATTAAGATTGTTCAAGCCCCGCCCCCTCCAGCTTCCTGACCGGTCTACTTCAGTTTGAGAGAGGAGGGGTTACATTTTCTAGCTTGCAGAAACGTTTTATTTATAATTTAATTAAAAGATGTCAGCAACAGAAGACTTGTCCATCCAGCCTTACATGTTGGAGTCAAAGTCTGACCCAAAACAAGAGAAGGAAGACGAAATTTAATTCCACCCTAAGACTTTGATAAATACAGGCCCAGAGATTTAAGAAAGCTGTTCCAGTAGCTTAGTGTCAGCTGAATTAACCAACCAAAAAATCTGACATCTGCTCAAACACACCTAGCTGTGTCCATGTTTCCTTGTCTACCCTGTAACTGGGTGTGTTCTGTTCTACAGGTACTCAATGAAGGTTGTGAAGGCAGCAGCTCAGGTGTTAAACACTTTGTGGCAGTACAGAGAGTTGAGGAGCCTCTACAAACAGGTGAGTTTGATTTGTTGTAAAATTTCTATTTTTAAACAATTCCAGCTTGAATTAGTAAAAATATTTTACATCAACCCATGTCTGAACAGGACGGATGGAATTACACCCATTTCGTCACCCCCGTGTCCACTCTGGAGCGAGATCGATACCGTTCTCAGCCGACTCTGCCCACCAGCCCGCTGCAGATGTCCCCCGTCATCCAGTCAGGTCTGAGCTCTGCCCAGTGGCTTTGTCATTTTAATTAATCAAAAATAAGGTGCACACAAAATAATAATAATCATGGTGCAAACTAAAGCTTCATTTTAAACACAGCTGAGTGAAATATTGAAGAAGCAAAAGTTAATTATTGTGAGATGTGTTTCAGACTTCAGGATAAAATTATACAGATGGCCTGAGCAACAAGTTAAAATTAGGTTAATTTAATGTTTACACCCACCATTATGGTACCAAGTGTTCTTAAGGGGTATTTGCAGTCGTTGAGTACAATGATTATAAATGTATATGTTTGGTAAATTACAAACCAGTTACAAAATGATGTTAGGTCGGAGACCAGCACAGAAAGGATTGTGTATTCTAGGTGGAGGCATATGCTAGCAAGAACTTTCTTGGTAAAAGTTTGTTGTTAATTTCCCCAGGTGGCAGTGCAACATCCTCACCTGCGATGCTTGGGATAAGAAGACACAGTTCAAACTACCAGAGAGCGCAGTCATCTATGCAACTTGACTCATACTACGGAGACAGTATCCACAAAAGGCAGTATACAGGTTTGTAGTGTGGAGTTCCTCAGGGATGTTCACACGGTCCCTTTGTGTTTTAAGTCTGACATTTTGATCATTGTAGGGTCTGAGAAGAAAACCCCTTATTTTATCGGGACTTACTCTTCCCAGTCAGGAGAAGATTTAGGAAGAACCCATGTAAGCAAATGTTACATCTTGGCCATATTTAAATATGGTATATATTCCACAAAAATCACCACATTGTGTGTATTACAAAAATGTAAATAAAACGTTTCTCTCCCAGCACTCAGAGCCATTTTACGACGAACCTGACAGGAAAAACTACAACAGCTACAGAATGTACCTGTCATCCCCTCAAGGTTACGGCGAGGAGCGCTTTGAGGATGAACCCGTCCACCTGATCCCGTCCTCGCCAGATGGCTTTGTGAGCCAGTCGCTCCAATTCAAAGCCAACACCAACTACGTCGATTTCTACTCCACCACGCGGAGGCCTTCAAACAAGGCAAATAATTTCACCGGTTCCCCCGACTCCTGGGTGTAAATGGACACGGCGTGCTTTACTGTGTGTTTCTGTGGATGTTCTGTGTTTGAGGGAGCGCACATGTATGGATGAGCCGTACTGTTTGGGTTGACTTAAAGGGATCCCCGATTAGTTGTAATATTAGACTTTATTTGATAATCATTTATTTTAACTGTAACATAAAGACTAAAAATACTGTAGGCTGTTTAGTTTTGTAAATTTAAAAAATATATTTTAACACGGACGGAGCCATTTTATTTACACGCAAAGCATTCTGGGTAAATGATGACGTGGATAGGTCATCGGTGTGAGCGAGCTATATCCACCCTGAAGGTTAATCTTGGACAATATCTGATGATTGACTCTTTTAAATGAAACCAGAGAGCGTTGACAGAGAGGAGAAGGTAGAAATGACTCAGCCTGGAACTGAAAATATAGATGGAGGACAACAGAGCTGCTTCATGGAAGAAGAACCTCAGCTTAGCCTGTTAGCCTTTGAGCTTGCGCTGATGATATATTACTTTATATGTATTAGCTCAGAGCTAGCGCGACAAGCTAACAAGCTGAATTGAGGTCCTTTATCTATATTTTCAGTTGCAGGCTGAGTCATTTTTGCGTTCCCCTCTCTGTCATGTGGATGGAGGGCCTCAGTGACGAGAGGAGAATGTGTAGCCCTGAGCTAATACATATATATGGTGATAGAGTCGGGGCTAATGCTAAAGCTAACAGGCTAAGCTAAGGTTCTTCTTCCATGAAGCAGCTCTGTTGTCCTCCATCCATATTTTCAGTTACAGGCTGAGTCATTTCTACCTTCTCCTCTCTGTCAACGCTCTCTGGTTTCATTTAAAAGAGTCGATCATCAGATATTGTCCAAGATTAACCTTCAGGGTGGATATAGCTCGCTAGCAGCCTCGCACCGAGGACCGATCCACGTCATCATTTACCCGAATGCTTTGTGTGTAAATAAAATGGCCCTGTCCGCAGTATTGCCAACTCCTGAGCAAGAAAAGTCCCTATTAGCTGTCCTAAAAGTCGTTAGAAGTCGCTAGATGACGTCATCACCTAATTTGCATAGTAGGATGCTTGCCAATAAATGTGATCTGAGCTATAGGTGACATCATAAAGAGTGAAAAAGTGACTAAAAACACAAAATATGTTTAGAACTGCAATTAAACTGAATGAAATAAAAATTATTTTATAAATTTAATGCTTAGATTCACATAAATTAAATTTGTGGGAATCTTAAATTTAATCTGCAGACAGTTCGATGTCACGAGGCACAGGGAGGTAGAGGTGAAGAAGTGACTGTGAGTCAAACACAGCTGGGTCCAGAGATTTAGTTTAGAGAGACAGTACCAGAGAAAAACATTACAATAAATATTACATCCCGCTTTGTAAACCAGACAGAAGCAGTGACAGCTTTGCGCATGCGTGATTCATTTTCAGCGGGCTCTTCTCAGCTGACTTCAGCTGAGGGTGGGGGTAGGGGTTGGGGGTGCTGCACGAGGCTTCAGTGACTTGGACGGCTTTAGGAAGGGGGAGGGGCTCACCGCGCTCCTCGCTGCTTGCGGAGGAACAGAGGAGGAAAGGAAAAAAGTGCTTGGAAAATGCTGTCGCCAAAGCTCCTAGAAGTCTCTAAAAACTAGATTTGTCGCTAGTCGCTTTTTGGAAAAAAAAAGTCGCTAGAGAGGTCTGAAAAGTCGCTAGATCTAGTGACAAAGTCGCTAAGTTGGCAACACTGCCTGTCCGTGTAACATATTTTCAAACTTTTAGTTTAAAAATGATAAAAACTGAACATCCCACCGTATTTTTACAGTCTTTATTTTACAGTTAAAATATATGTTTATGAAATAAAGTCTAATGTTACAACTAATCATGGATCCCTTTAAGAAGTTGTGGATGCATGTGAATGTGTGTGCATTTGTGTTCAAACTGGATTGAAGGACTTGGGCTTGCTTTTTTTCCGCAGCTTTTGACTAAGTCAGGCAATGAGCACAATAGTGCAGAAACTTTAAATTTTCATTGTTTTTTTTTTGTTTTTTTCAATTATGGGGTTGTGTGAAGTAGCTGTGAGTTGTTAAATCTTACCTTGCAGTTTTTTTAAGAAATCATGGAGGAAGTCAGATTAAGGCCTAAATCTATCAGAATATTTAGAGGAGCCATTGTAGAAGCTGGAGAGCGCGAGTTAAGTTTCTGTAGGTTAGGGTTAGCAGCAAAATTTGCAAAACAGTGAACCTACAACTTTGGACCAACAGTGGATACAATTTGTCTCAAATATGTATCTAGTAGTTGTGGTTCAGTGGAAGAGCCAAGACCTCAGTGTATGTAAAACCATCGCATCTTAAACTGTACTCTTCAGCTGTAGTTATGGGTTTGGACTAGGGTTGGGCAGTATTGATCATTTTCATACTGCAGTGTATGGTATTACCGGGGAGGGGTCTGTAGCATCTTGAGTAATTAATGAATAACAGAGAAACAGCTTTTGCATGCATAAACCCAGAGAGAGACGTGGGTAAAAAAGCTCAGCTGTTCTGACACTGCTGTCATGCCACATTAACACCGAACATGTTTTCAGCATCAAAAACACAAGCATCCAAAGTAGTTGGATACTTGTGCACTTTGAGGTCAGACGCTCGTACAATGACGGATGAAATTAAGTGGCTTTGCCTTATTTACTGAGAACAAGAGCACATAGTCCTCAATTCATAGTTAATCCACCAGATAATTCAGGGATGTTCTGAGCTTTGTGAGTTTCACCACCCAGGAGCTGCAAGCTGACGAGGCTCGCTTTCAGATCTAGTTTTGTCCTGAGCTCAGTTTGACGAGCCGTCGACCCACATCTGCTTCCAGGACACGAACTACAGGCACTCGATTTCAGCTAAAGAGCTCCTGTCCATCTGTCTCAGGTTAGTGGGCATCATTCAGGACACCGTCCCGTCAGAAAATGCACCAAATCCAGAGGCTGGTCCTCCGAAGGACTTGGCCTAGCCGGTCGAGGTGGGCCAGGTCCTTGGTAGACTGCTAGAATTTTGGAAGAGGGCCCAGAGTAACTTATTGACGTAAAGTGGAGATTGTAGAAACAACACACAACAGCTGCTGAAGCTGTAAAATCACCTCCTCTGTCCAAGCCTGGCACAATTCAATCTGTCTTCTGCCTAATCTCATATCTGTTGAATCCTGGTAAAAACTCAAAGATAAGCTGATACACGGAAATGAGGTGTTGCAAAACTGAAAGAGGGTGTTTAAATAACAGTTGTTCTTTATCTAAGCAGATACGATGAGAAGGTGCCCAAATCCTTGTGAAAAAGACTTTCAGGTAAGATGCTGACCGCTCATAGCGCTTTATACAATCCCAATTAAAAATAAGCCAAATTACAGTATCCCTTTAAGGTCAAAAGACTGTTTTGAGGAAGTTGCTCTGTGATGGTTATTGACCAACACTGGCAACATTTTCTTAAGATCACCAGTCTTGATGTTTAAGAATGAAAAGAATAACTAAAATGGAACAAGATGCAACTTTTGTTGGGTTACATTTTCTTTTCAAACATCAATGTGCTGTAGAAGGCTTAGTCAAAAGGTGCTTTTTGAAATGATTAAACAAAAAAAGAGAAACGGCCCTCACTTCACTGTTTACTGGGGTGTTTGTTAATGTTACTGATTCCGTTTCTTCAGCAGTAAAAACAAATCAGTTCTTTAACATAGATATCGTCTGCCACTGTCACTTTGAATGCAAGAGAAAGAAACTCTTGGTGAAATTGATGTTTAATCGTAAATCCAAACAGGATGAAAATTTGTCTAAGAAATTATTAAATATTGTTCCTACCTGGTTTGAAGACGATGAAACCTTTAAAGACTCGGATCTGATGCTTTGACCGTGGAGTCTTTGCTTCTCGTTGGGCAAAAGTGAAATAAGTTCTGTGTAATTTGGAGCAAAACAGAACAGTGGAAATCTATTTGTACAGACAGAATGACTTAACTGTCCTGTTACATTGTTGTATTCAATGTGTAGAACTTTATATGTGGTTGTGTGCAGAAAATTTTTTCTATGATTTCATTATTTTACTTGTGACAAAAGAAATGAAGTCCTCATCTGTCGAAAAATCAATGATAATGTGCAATGTTACAAAGATAACATATATGTATAGGGATTAAATATTCTAACAATTCATCTTGGGTTTTTATTGTTGCTACTCATAGTAGAAAAATTCATGTTATGTTCATCATTATATGAATAGTGAACTTTTGTTAGCAACTTGTTCTTCCTCTTTTCCCACCCACATGTATTTCCAAAGCGACAGCAACACCTCTTCTCTTGTACATTTCATCCACAAGGTTAGCCAGTCATTATTCTGAGCTGCAAACCCCACTGTTTTCACCTCTCTGAAACTCTAGTAGCCCAGAACCCCCTCCCACCCTGTGCAAAGACATTCCAAGTACAGTGAAACCCCATTTTAACAGGGTTACTTATTCTGCCTGCAAACTGTGAAATTTTTATTTTTATTTTTAATGTGGAACCAGATTTAAAATATTCATGTTACAAATTAGTAAATTATATTGTTCTATACTTTTCTTAGAAATTTAGTTTAAAAACTCCCCAAAAAATGATGTTCCTTACTGTACTGTTTTTCTGTGACATCACAGGAATTACCACAAACTACAAGTAGTTACAGTATGCTCAATGAAAAAATATGCACAAGACTGAGTCTGCAAACTGTGAAATGCAACCTACCTGGATTGTAGACCTACTCAGATATTTTTTGTTTGATCTTGAAAGGTAGATAACACTTTTGACAAGAATTAATTTTTAATATTTATTTATAATGTTTATAAAAATACATACATTCATCTCTACATAGGGGAACACCAGTATTGAACTACCAACCTCACAAGTGGAAGACAAACATTTTTCCTTCTGAGCTATAGCCAGTATAGTTGGTAATTAATACCTAATCTTTGTCCTTTGTATATTGTATAAGTATTTAAAATGAAGTAACTGTATTATTCTGTCTTACAAAGAAGTGATATTGCACATCTTTAGATATACTTCTGTGAAACGTTGCTTGCCAT